AATTGGCCACTCCCCCCGACAACGCTATTTCTTTTTATTCCCTGGGCTTTGTTAGCGCTATGAGCTTGGCTCTGACCGCTAAACGAAAATTGTGTTTACGATCATCTATTGAGATTTTTCTGCCAGATGCAGCTGCCACGCCCACTCAGCGCTATCACGCCCAAACGCCCGCCGTCATTCGAGTTGCAGTCTGTTTTGTAGTTGTTGTCTAACGCATGTCAATGAGGCAAGTTGCAGCTAAGGCTAAAGCCAAAGCTCCTCCCAAAACTCCTTTGGCGAATTTTCATTCCTCATCACAGAACTCCTCGTGCTGGGTGTGTTCTTCACTTATCTCGCACTCATATTTATGTTAATGTGTTTGTGTGCGCCAAAGATCAAAAGCAAAAGCAAAACGCTAACGGTTCTGTTTCTGGTTCGAGCCAAGTTTCTTGACTGGGGGACAAGTCCACAAGGAAAGTGTCTTGCTGGAAAATTTATGTTTCCTTTGTCTTGCCAATTTTTTGTTTATTTTTTTTATTTCGTTTTTTGGTTGTGTGGTATTCCTTAGGGTTTAATTAATACACGTACTCGGAGAGCTTACCCAAAAAATAGGTCATGGGGGCGTGGCTCTGCGTTGGGCTAAAGTGCAAAGCGATTAGCCTCGAAAGAGTTGGCCTTAAGAAAGTTTAGCGATCTGCCGAGATACGGCTTGAACCAAGAAAATCCCATGCTAGGATATAAATATGGACCAGTCAAGACTGAATTCAATTTCAATTTCTTTTGGCCCCGGTGGAGGCCATCTATCACCAGGTTCCCTCTGCGGACTCCAAAAGGTTCTCCAATTTCAGCCGCAACTAATCACACACAAATCTCGATTGCAGCTGCCACAAATATTGGCTACCTCTGGCTGCTGCCGCTGCCGCAGAGCATGTACTCGTACTTAAATTTGATATTTTAATAAATTAAAGCGCATTGAAACTAATGCGGTGAGTTCACCCGCCTGGCACTGGCACCCAGCCTTTGGGAATAGATCGCCCGTCCGGCGAATCGGTAGCCGGGGAGTGAGATGCCTGCCAACTGATTGCAATTTGAAATATTCAATGGTCGCGCCGAACAACCAGGTAACAGGAACAAGCGACAAGAACTTCTGTTTTGGCCGGGAATAGGCTACGGTGCTTAAGAAGGTTTCACTTGGAAAAAAGGTTCATGGTCGTTTTATAAAGTTTTAAAAAATAATTTTTCTTTATTTACTACAATAAGCAATACAAAGTCCCTAGTAGCTTACAAGATGCCTGTGAAAGCTAAAATTTGTGAGAAATCGAACGACTGACTATTACTTAACTTGAACAGAAACTCAAGGTTCATATAATATGATACTTAGTCATAAAATTTAAAAATTAAATAACTTCTACTTTTTGCTAACATTTTTTTTAGTAATTAAAATGAGTTTAAAGTGAATATGAATATGTAAGAAATAAAATAAATATCTGACTTAACCTTATCTGGTCATAAACTTTTCAATATTTTAAATATTATAAAAAGAATAATCCTCTCTAAAAGCTTACAGTCTATTAAGATATCAATGATCTACTATTTTTCCCCTATACTTAAATTTTTTGTTTAGTGTGCCTGAAAAAGTTAGTACTAGAGAGTGGACTGGATTGTAGCTAGGCCCAAACGCATGATTGGCAGTCCAAGCCGTGCTGACCAGGCCAAGTGTAATGAGCAGGGAGCTGTGCTGTTGCGCTGTTGTGCTGCCCACCAGGCCGAGATGCTGGCTGGAATCTCCATCTGCTCCTGGCCGGCTGACTGGCTGGCTGGCCCGAACTGTCTGGCAAACTGCCTCTGCCTACCTACCTACCGGGGCGATCAGCGATAAGTTTGGGGACTGCTCATATACGAAATGGTTTTGAATTCTCTCGTCTAGTGTTTGATTCTTATTAAAAGATTGGCGAAAGCATCTTACAAGCGCATTGCAAATTGCAACTGTCGCTTACCCAATCCGGACTTCTGCTATATATATGTGTGCAGTTTGCAGTTGCCTGGCCAGGAACCCAACCCAAATCACACTCACATCCCACAGGTGGGTTTTCCTTAGATACTTTTTCGCTGCTGCTGCTGCCTCTGCATACAATTAGCCTACAACGTTGGGCAACAAAATGCGCTTGTAATTTATTTAAAATCTTTCCTTTTCCTCCGCACCTCTCTACATCCCCTGTGCATTTGAATTGAAATTTCTGGTTTATGAACCATAAACTTAATCAGTGAAATAATCAGCAAAGAGCAAACAAGGCAAGAGTCAAAGGCAGAAGAGCAAGTCAAAGAAGGCTTGGCATTGGGATGGAGAAGAAAAAAATCTGGTCCCAAGGAGGAGGATTTTTTCTGGCTTTAAGAGAAAAGCGGCAGAAAAAAGCCAACCGAAAAAAACCCAAAAACTGAAAACTGAAAAGAAAGCCAATGGCAGGGCAAAGTGTTTTTCCTGAGCCGAGACCAATCTGCACTTTTCACTGACCTGCTGCTCTGCTCGGCCAATTCAGGTGCAAATGCATCTCGGCCACTCGGCTCCACTGGCTCAGGCTTATCAAATTCCTGCCAAGTGCCACTTAAGATCCTTACTTCTACTGCCTCCCTGCTAAACTATTTATTCCTTCTAACAGTTTGCAAATTGCTTCTCATGTGGGTTGAACTTTTAATAACACGGCAGGAAGGCAAAGGCAGTCAAAGCGGAGAGAAATCTCAGCAATTTATATGGCTGTGAGTCGGTTCGGTTCGGTTTCAACTGCAGCTTTAAGGCGGGTGCCCGTTTCATGAATGGATTCTCCTCGGTTTGCCTTGGTTTCTTCGGCTTTTCTGGGTTTTCTCGGCTTTAGCTGGCAATGGCCCAAATTGTGCGAAACAAATTCTCGCTGCACTGGGGACAAAGTTGTTCTTAAAACTTTACTTAAAGAAAATATTAAAATCACATTTTCTCAAAAACCTTCTTTCGCTCTCAAAACATAACAAAGATCAATTCAAACTTAAATTCTCAACAACAAGATGAAATATACTCGCTTAGCGGACAACTTTCATTCGCAGGTAATTTTTATCTCTATTTCAAGATCAGTTTATCCCTAAAAACAAACTTCAGAGTATTTTCGTCTTGATTTCAAGATCGTTTTTTGTTGTAAGTATTCCCACTTGATCATGGCTAACTTAAAATCCTTTATATATTAACATACAGCTTAAGCTAAAATCCTATATTAAATATTTCTGTTCGTAAATTTATTTATATGCCACAATGTGTATAGTTTTTAAACAGCTTAGCCACATTTCTTCTCTCTGCATGAAACGCAATGCAATTACTTATCACAGTATGCTCCAGAGCCAGACATGAGGTGACCATCGACCGATGCTCGCCTGGCATCGAAATTACTTCACAGTTCTTGCCCGTGCCTATGAGTATGCAAATGTCTAGCATGCTGGACACGACTATTACCTGTCACATTGTCAGGTGATTGCGAAATTGTTGCGTTACGCCAGCGCTCAAGAGAAGAGAGGAGAGATCCCCGAATGCAAAAGTGAACTGCAAACTGCGAATGGCGAACGCGGCTTAAATTTGTGGGAAACATCAACTGCGGCTATGGGCGAGACTAAGTGCCCGGGCAACTGGCATTGGGCACTGGCAATGGGCACCCCATTGATGGCAGTTGGAAACGTGACTCGAACGTGACGTTTTGTGCAAACAGGAAGATGCCAACTGACAGCAGACGGCACAACTTGGCAAAACACAGCAACAGTTGGCTTGGCTTATAGTTGGGCCAAGAGAAGAGACAAGAGTTAATACAGTTCGGCGCGGAGTTGACTTGATTGCCGGCGACGTTGGTGGTGGTCAAGGCAGCAAAAAGGAAAAACCGAAACCGAAACCCAAACCTAAAGCTAAACTTAAACCCCATCCCCAGCCCCAGCCCAAACCCAAAACGGTACTCGCAAAATTACTTTAACTCCTCTGCAACGAGTCTGGCTCTTGCCTTGACTTTGAATGCGTTGAACTTTTGTTTGCATTAACTTGGCCAACAGGCAGAGGCGGTTCCCTTTTGCCAGCCCCGCTGCTTTATCAGCACTCACATCATATTTACAATATGGAAATCATTTGCATTGTAATAATTTACAATTTCGCTGCGTAGGCCGATCTCGGCTGTACTGTAAGCTGGATCTGGATGTTGCGATGTTTGGATGTTTGTTGGCCTGGCCTCTCGCTTCGTTGGCCAACAAAGCCCCTTGTAATTGATGAAAGCCCCCCAATCGCTATTAATGTCATCGATAACATTTCGATTCTGTGTCGACTGAGTGGCGATCCTGGGCTCTGGACTCTCTAGTTCCAAGACCTCACTTCGGGCCACGAAGAGTTACAAGCTCGTAAACGTCGACAACACAAATCAAAACATGTCACAAACAGTTGCTACGCCTCGAAAATTCCTGGAAAGCCCCAAACAAACGCTTGTAGGTCGCTTACTTCCTGGTGTAAATGCTGTCAGCGTTCTCCGCAGGAAGAGAATGGAAATGGAAAAGGCTGTGGAAATGGTAATGGTAAAGGTAATGGAGATGGAAATGGCACTGGCACTGGCGATCGCTAATTTATGGGTCTCGTCAAGGTGGAAAGGTTCTAAATAATCCCCAAACAGTTTTGGAGAAAGATACTGTAGAGAATGCATTTATTCATTGTTTCCCAATGCCCTTACCTATTATTAGATAACTGAAGATTATTAAAAAAATTATTTATTGTATTATATTATTCCATTTTTGGTATCTTTAGGTAAAAATTAGTGATCATTTTGAATTTTTACAGACATTTACTGGTACCTTCAGCTTTCTTCCTAGGAATGCATTTTCCACAAAATGACCAGAAAAACCATGAACACAAATCAAAATTCTTTCCCGAAATTAGCAAGCTAAATATTCAATTTACCTTTGAACTTGCTTATATGAAACATCAATTCTTTCAATTCTTTAAGATTGTTGACAGAGCTGAATAGAGCTGAATTTTAGATGAATTTATTTGTAGAATTTTTTGTTTTTTCCCTTTACTTATGCATAAGGTATGGCATGAATGTAGCCACCACTGTTATCATGAATCCAATATAGATACGAGGTAACTTTAGTATATACTGTGGGATAATGTGACTCGCAAATACCAAAATTATAAGATGTTATGCCCAGTAAAACAAAGTTCGAATAATGCCTGACAACTAATGGGCCACCTGAATCTCCCCTACAAGCCGTGTTCTCACCAGGAGCGGTGCATAAAAGTGTTGCTGAATATGTAGGCCCTAACTTGGTAGTCCACAACTGACACTCTTCATCGGATAAAATTAAGGTATTGAAGTATTTTAATTTGGGGTCCGAGGTTGGTATGAAATTATTGTTTTCTGGTGAAACTGTTTAGGACCGTTAGATATTAGAAACAAAATAAGAAATAAAGTAATTCTCACCGTTGACGTATCCCCAGCCTGAAACAGTGGCTTCAGAGACTTTATATTGCTCTATTGTATTCGGTAACCTAGCTGCTCGTATGTAGTCGTCAAATAACAGAGTGATTGGAAGTTTTATCAGCGCAATATCGTTGGCCATTAAATGTTTATCATATTGCTCATGTACCACAAAATTATCCCTTTTGACTACCAATCGTCGTTGGCCAACTTCCGTTTCATTTAATATGTTAACCGCTCCAAAATAAATTTTAACAGCATATCTGAATAAATGAAATAGGTATATCTTAAAATTACGTAATAACGCAAAAATATTATTTTCTCTCTTACATATTAGGGTCATCCAGGCAGTGAGCTGCGGTCAGGATAGTTTTTTCGGAGATTATTGTTCCGCCACAAAATGGCGTCCATTTCAGAGGGACGTGAAGATTGGAAAGATCAAGTTTGTCAAAGAATACTTGGTAGGGGAGTTGCTTAGCACTGGCATAGTTGCCATTGATAATTCGATGCACTTCAGTTGAAGTAGTAAACCGAAAAACGATTCCAAGAATGGTTAAGATAATAATTATTTTGCTCAGCATGTTTGCTTTCTACTGAAAACTGCAGAGCAGGGTTCTTCTTTTATAGGCAAAACAAGTTCCAGGAAGTAAATGGAATTTAAATATTTTCCTACTTTAATCAAAAAGTTTTAAACAAAATATTTTGTTTTTAAAGTATAGCTGTCAATGTAACAAAATATTGTTTAAGGCTATTAACTTCAACAGCCATTTAAAAAAGGTGATAAAGGTGATAAGGTTGTTGAAAAATTCTAAAATTTCTAAAGGCATAGATACCATACCAAAAAAGTTAATTAATGTTGTTTCTTTTAATATTATTCTTTGTTTCACTTTTTAAATAATAATAAAAAACTGGCTGACAATACATCAACTCTTAAAAACAAGGAAAACCCGCAAAAACAATTATCAGATGTCCTGGATTGGCTCAGGCTCAGTTGCATCCCGATTTCGCAACGCCGGGGCAACGCCTTAAATCATTTTAAGCAAACACTTGGTACCAAATGGCCGCCCATTGTATGAACTGCAGAATGCCGCTTCTCTTATCAAAAGAAAGCTTATTAATAACTCATATACATAATGCAGCCAGATCGGAAAAAGGGGCCAGGGGCGAGGTGAAGCCGGGCATAATCTCTAAATCAAAACTCCCCGACATGAGAAATGTGGAAATTGAAAAACGTTTCAGCACCGAATGCGAGTGGGTTCCGAGAAAAAACAGCTCCATTGAGAGGCGCACACACAAATAACTCAGCGGCGAACCCAAGACCCCAAGATCTCGGGATCTCCTCAATTGGGAGTCCGAAAACCCAAAACCAACCCAGAACACAGAAACCAGAAAAAGCCAACTGAAAACGCCCAAAGCGCGATACTCAACACTTCGGACAAGTTCTTGACACCAATGGAGCGGATGGGCCAAAAGTCTGGAAAAGGAAAAGGGAAAATATTTTTTATTGGCCATTTCAATTATCTTAATGCACTTTAATATGCCAGGCGAGTTGAAAACATTTTTACCGTTTCCAAGCCGAGTGTGTGTTTGTGATTATCAGCTAATAAGGCATCAATAAATTTTGGTAAGCAGCAGCCGTGGCCCGAAAATGCCAGACTCTTGGCCAAGACTTCGGCTTACGGCTCAGCTCTCTTGGCCAGATCGCCTCGAGATGATGCCGCAGATTGAGCCGGCCAGATTGCAATTAATTTGCAATAACTTTTGATAAATGCGCGCCTGCGTTTCTGCGTTTTTCGGGGGGAGTGAAGTGGATTTAACGTCACACGATAACGAGTTGACGCGATTGCCTGGTAGATATGTATTCCCCCACTTGGGCCAGAACAGAACAGAACAGAGCCACTCCCGTTAGCCCCGAGATAGAGACGACTGGCAGGGCACTTAAGTGAAATCGAAGGTTCGCAGTCCCCAGTCCTTTATGGCTTCCCCGAAAAATCCCAAATATCCCCGACGGCCATATCGTTTTATTAACTTGCCATCAAACTTTATGCCGGCCAGAGAAAAAATGCCAAACGATCAGTGTAAAAGTCGCATGCGACAAATTTGCCGCAGACCGCAGAAGTCCACGGAATGCGGGGAATGAAATTTGAAAAATTTCATCAATGAGCGAAAAGTTAATAAAAAATAATTAATTTAAGCGAATTGGCCGTCGCACAGGGCGGGGCAGCAGTCGGCTTCGGCATCGGAATTGGCGCTGCAAGCGCATTTAAATTGAATAAAAGTTGCTGAGAGACAAGCGAGGCAACATTGCAACTGCAACTGCTATTTGCCGCTGCCGTTATGCGCTTAACATCTTGGCATCCAATCAATTAGTTTTTATGCGCTTCCATTGCCAACTGTTGCTGTTGTTGCTGGTCTGGGCCAAGCCTTCTTTCTCTTCGTCAGCCGTGTCAGCAACAAATTGGCGAAGGGACCCGGCGACAACTTGCAACCACGGGCACAACGGCAACTTTGCAACTTGCAACTCGCATTGGCAATAGCAACTGCCACAACCACGATGACAACGGCGCGGACATTTCGCAGCTGCATTAACACTGCACGGGAAAAGGAAAAAGGAGAGATTTTTAACTGGTTATTAAAAGGCCGATATTGCTTATCGCGCTAAGGTTTTCCATGTCTAGAGGGAAAATAAAAGCTTTGACTTTATTTAATTCATGAGCGGATCCGCGGGGTGTGCTTTGGGTGATATATCTCCCCCCACTAGAGTCAAAACATTTTGGACTATTGGTATTCAAAAAGTATGCAACAAAGAAATTGTTGTTGCCACTGACTTGATTATTATTTATTAACTAACAGAATAAAATATCACGGCCTATAATTTGAAACTTTTAGGGACCAAAAAGGATTATGAATGGAACATTTTAAAATTTTTTATAAAAACTAACTGGTTTAAAAATTTAAAAACCCTATAAAAGTAGTGTAATATCTTGATAAAACTAATAAAACGCTTTGAGACCATGAAGCAAAATTCAATACGTTTTACAAAGAATTACACATATATTTCTAACCTCTTTTTATTAAGGATATCTTCATTTACTACAAGTTTTTAGCATGAATCCTTCGCATAATATTAACAATAAATATTTTACAAATACATTTTTCCTTTTTTCAAAAACGATCTTCAATTATAATCTTTATTTTCTGTGTAGACAGCTGAAATTCCATTAAACTGTATTTTATAAGCTTATATCCCAATCGATTCCGGTCAAACAAACAGGCAACGCAATCAGGTTAAACACTCTGCTGTAATTATTTCAATCGCTTGCAGGCTTTCAACCAGCAGTTTCTGCATCTGCTCAAATGTGATACTTTCCCAAAAAAAAAATCGGTAAAAAAGAAAGAAAAAAATATCAAATGCTGACTTAAGTCTTCGGGCCCGGGTGAAATGTTATTCAAATGGCTTTCAAATGCCAACGAAATGTGCGCAGGTTTGCGGTTTCTGCGATTGACAAATCAATTTGGCGATGGCTTTTGGGGCTGGGATTTGGTTGCCTTTTTTTCTCCATCGAGAGACGGAACCAACACCTGCTGGCTGATGGCATTTCTTATTCTTTTTCGGCTGACCGAGAAATCCCCGCTAGCCGACACCTTCGAGTCGAGGCAGCCACGTCGATCAAAGCCATTCGAACACTTGGCAAATATATGCGCATTGCTAAGCAGTTGGTTAAGGGGGGTGGGGATGATCAGAGGGGGGCGGTAAGGTGGTAAGGTAAATCGACGACAAGCTGGCGGCAGCTACGTCTGCATAAATGCATGAGGATGCCTCCAGCCGCATCTGCATTTCTGTGGCGGCTTAGCACCAACTGCCAATGGCTTTTGGCCAAGTCATTGCCGCTTGTTGCTGGTTGTTTGTTGCTCTTGCTGTTGCTGTTGCAGTTGCCATTGTTGCTGTTGTCCAAACACAACTGAAGTGCTAAAAACATTCCAATGTCAGGTATTAGCAATTTAAGTTAACCCGCTTCCCTCGCCGCAGGAATCGCCACTCAAAGACTCCTTTTGATTCTCGGTTTTGGTTTTGTGGCGGCTTCTCCTGACGAGTGCACAAAGTGATCCCGAAGAAAGGAACATTCTCCTTTGATTGCCACAATGTGGCTGTCGATGTAGACGCAACAAATTAGACAGCTTGCTAATCTACTGAAAGCGTTTCGGCTCATAAATCATAAATGCCAATAATCTGGCGGTGTTTACAGATTTATTTATTTTTTACTTGACGTACTTTTTATAACACCTACACCAGTGTTATAAAAAGTTTAAGAACAATTTTAAAGATCTATATTTGTAAAGGAAATTCATATAGAATAAAAAAATTATTTGAAAAAAAGTGGGATGTAAATTAATATCTTTAACTCCAAATATTTGTATTTATTCAGCGTGTCTGATCAAATTTTTATAAGCTTAAAATGAAATATAATAATTTATCTAAAATTGTTTCTTGCACTCACTTTAATTGTACTGCCTAAGGATCTGTTGAATTTATCCAAATCAAGTTGCATTTATTTGCATTGCCGAGGGCCTTTGGGGAGGCAACCAAAAAAGTGTCCAGAAAATGAGGCTCGAAGGGGTTTGGCCGGGGGGAAAAGGGCGGCTGGCATGGGGGCTGTAGGCTGGGGGCGTGGTCGGCTGGGCAAAACCCAAAGGCAGCAGGAACTTTTGCGCGATTCTCTGGCTGGTTGTTTGTGTTAATTGAGTTGTTTGCAGCTTGTGTTGCTGTTGCGGCTTCATGTTGCTGCTGCTGCTGTTGCTTGTTTCGTTGCACATTCGTTCGTTTGTTGCATTCATTCCGTTAAGATTTTTTTTAAACACACGGCCAGTTGTTTGGCTGCTGTGATTTTTGTGTTCTCCTGTTGTTCTATGTCTGCCCGAAGTCCCCTTCCCCCTCTCGACCGACTGTTTGCAATTTTACAGCAATTAGTGCTGCTTGTGTACACTGTCAGTTATTCCTCTGCAGATTTTCAAGTCAAGTGAGTGTTTGGGTTCGTGGCCGTTGTGTTTTTCCGTTTTTCCCCTTGTCTCTTAATGTCGCGCGCATCAGGCGAAATGAGTCATGGGAGCTGCGCTTTATGTTGCTGCTGTGTCTGATGTTGCTGCTGCTGCTGTTGCTGTTGCTGCTGCTCCTGGCAGGCTGACTAATATGCGAGACTCTGAAATTGAAAAACGGACACTAAATTAAGAAAGACACAACTAACTGACACAAACATCGCACTTTATATGCCCTTACTCGTTGGAAAGTGGATTCATGTCAACAGAAATAAACTTAAATTAATTTTGTTTAGTTATTTTTAAATCAAAATAAAGAAACTCATAATTTTAAGGTTTTTCCTTATCCCACTTGCTCTCGGGACTCGGGCTTCTGCGCTCGCGATGGGCCAAGTATATGGGCAGCGGCGTGTCCTCCGGCAACCGATCCCGTCCAAGTTTGATGTTCAAAAACCGATCCATATCCCTTTGCTCGCGATTCTGATGGCTGGCGTCCGCTATGTCCCGCAGCTCATCGTCGTAGGATCTTAACCTGGGTTGCCCCGCGTTTCTGGACCGGCTTTCGCGAATGGCCTGAATTAGCGCACTTGTGGACTCGGAAGCTCGGTTAGCCCTACTCATTTTAAACAGCTTTCTTCTGATTTTTGAAATACACTTTTTAATTTGTTATTGTATCTATCTTTATACGTCTATATATTGTGCTTGTTTAGATTTAGGCAAACGTTAACTTCATCGCCAGCTGTAGGGTGTAAAAAATGGTTTCTTTCTAAGAGGAATATTTTAAAAGGTCTCAAATCATAAGATAAAAAATAAATTCAAAATCTTTTGTTAGGTAGTTAATACTGATTTTTTTAAAGTCCAGTATTTTATTTTATTTTGTAATTGTCTTATCCCACCGGCTCGGAGGACTAACGCTGCGCGGTTTCCTGTAGGCCAAGTAGATGGGTAGTGGTGTGTCCTGCGACAGCATATCCCTCTTCAGCTGGGTCTTCAAAAAGCAATCCATAGCCGTTTCTTCGTTAGCAGTCCGCAGTCTTCCAAGAGAAGATCTAAGAGGAGTAGTAGAAGTAGTTCTATTTATCAAAGTAGAACTGGATCTCTGGTTATTCATGGTAAATTAGATTTCCAATGATTTTCTAACACAATTTAATTGCTTTTCGGAGAGCTCGCCAAAAATGTTGACAAGTGTTTTGACATTTACTAAGTGTGGCCGCTTACCAACCAGAAAAAATACTATTCGATAGAATTATATCGAAAATAGTGAAACTCTTTTTGTAAATATGAGAATGGCAATATGATGTTAGTTTATTGTTTTAAACTTTGTTAAGTAAATTAAATAATTATAAATTAAAATTAAATTCATTATTTAAATATGAGAACGCCATCTTCTTGAAAAACCGCCATGCTTATCGGATAGAGTACAGAATCTAAACGCATGGCACTCGAACACGCCCAAGTAGAAAAATGGGTAAAGATTTGCCACAGACAAAAGCCAAAACAAATATGCAGTGGGACCCACAGAGACCCCCAGCAAAAGCAAAAGCCAATTCGCTGGTGCAGCAAAAAAAAACGTTTTGTGTCACAAAATATTTGAATGTAAAGTGCGCCTCAGACTTGTGAGCTCTATAGACTCGGTCTCGATTGCAGCTTTGGTTTGCTGTCTTTATTCCCGTCCCTGCTGCGATATTCGAGCTATATCTATACTATAGCTTTGCCTATAGCTGACGTGCGCCTGCGCGACCACGCCCCCTCCGCCGCACCGCCCCATCGACCGCTCGGCTGGATCACTAATTGGTCACGACAGCAGCGAGCTTTGGTTTCTTTTTTTCTACGATTTTTCAGCTCTTTGCTACGATTCTCTGTTGTTTTTTGGTTTTTATTCGATTTTTTTTGGCTAAACGAAAAGTAAAATCCATTGAATTTGGCAAGAGGCCGTTGCGATTTCGTTTGGCCAGCTAGCAGACTGAAACCTTCAATTTTGGTAGCTTTTCCGCCGCTCGCAGACAGCCAGCAAAGCCACCTACCTTTCGGCCAAGTCCCCCCAAGATGGGGTATTAAAGTTTAGCGTCGCAATTGATTTTAGTCGTCAGTTTTATGGGCTTTTGATTTTTCTTCATTGTACCTGGCTGATGTTTTGGCCGCAGCGACGATGGCGCAAACGCTAGACAATTCGCTTCGTTTGGCTAAATTTATTCGATGTTTTATTATTGAATATAATTTTAAATGGTTTTTTAATCATTTTTTGATGTTTGCCCAAATGGCGTGCTATTATTCAAGGGGCCAAACATTTAAAAGAATCTTGCTTTTCGGTTATGCAACATGCGATAAATTACAATCAGATTGGGAAACGTGTTGAAGTGAATATTTGATGAGCTTACTTTTATTTCAAATAAAAAAATGTTTCCTTGTTGTCTAAAATTGTATTTCTGTTTTATTTTAAATTTTACTCCCACACTTATTGGACTCCTGATTTATGTCCTATCTTTAGTGCCGGGAATAACAACAATAAACATTTCGGCAACCGCCGCAGGAAGGCGAACGACCGACAACGTCATTCATCAAATAAAATTTACTTAATGAAATTAATAAATAAATTATGATATAAATCTTGAACAGTCGCCGAATTGCAGCCGCAACGTTGTCGGTGTTGCAGCAGCAACATTTTTATTAAAAGCTCTAAATTATTGGCAGCCGCATGCGATGCCGACAAACGAGCCTGGTCAGCTGCTGCTGTTGCTGTTGTCGATGTTGCTGCTGCTGCTGCTGCTGCTCCGGAGCTAACCAGCAACAGCAGGCACACATTAACGAGCAAATGTCAATTTCCAGGCAATCTTTTTGCAATTTCTGGCTTTTTTAGTTAATAATTTTTGGCTGTACCGCCGGAGTTGCCGCCGTCGATGTGCAGGAGCAACAGCAACAACAACTTCGTGTCGGCTTTCGTAATGTGCAAAGAAATATTTGCGGCTAGTAAAATTAAGTTAATAATTCTTTTTTTTCGCATTTGGGTGTTTTTAATTGGACACAGAATACTCTACAATAAATTGGGGTAATTTTAAAACTTCTCCAGGTAAAATAACATTAACAACTTAAAATTTCGTTGCTTTAAAATATAATTTTTGGATAATGTTATGGTTAAATAAATTATTGTTATTATCCTTAATATGTAGTCTATCATTTTAACTGGTTTCAAAGAGTATTGATTCCTCTGTATAAAGCCTTTAAATTTTCCTTTCTCATTTGTGTTGGGCACTTGATAAATTTCTGAACTCGCCGACAAATATTTTTCTGTTTTCCTGATCGGTTGTTTTTTTTCCTTTGGGTTTTTTGCTGCGCCACGTAAATGTGTCAAATATTGACAATTTATATGAAATCGACATAGGTGCCTTGGCCAAAAAAGAAAAGAAAAAAATCCTAACAAAAACTGATTTTGGCGACTGGCAAGAAATATGAGTTAAATGCGTTTTTTGGGTCGTTGCAATAATTTTTCTGTCTTTTTTCTCGTTGCATTTGCAGTTTTGATTGCTGTTGTTAGTTTGGTGTTGGTTCCAATTGCTGTTGTTCTTGGTGTTGCTGTTGCAGTTGCATTTGCCATCGCCTGTGGTTGCTGTAAACAGGAGATTGTTATTTGCAACCCGCTGTGCGTACACCGCAAACTGGACAACTTAATTTGGCTAAAGTCGCTTGTTAGTGTTGCTGCGGTCTGGCCGTCCATTGTTGTTGTTGTTGGCGTTGCTGGTGTCGCAGTTTGCGGTCCACGCTCACCACATCATATCACATCCGAGCGCGGAATGCCAATTGAGGCTCCGAGATGAATATGAAGATGAAGCAACCGCGATTTTTGCCTTTTCTCGCCGCTTTTTGCAGCTATCGAAATGGCAGGCCAGCAACTGGGACTAGTTTCCCGCATATCGAATGCAGTTGGGATAGAGTCACAATTAGGGGAACACGAAATTAGAATGCAAAGTCAGGTTCCAATTTGAAATTAGATACTGAGAGATCCCTAACGGTATTTGGTAACCTACTATTCGATACGTAAAAAAAAGTAAAGTAATTACCTATGTTAATGAAAAGATGTAACCCATTTTAAAAGTATTCAAAAAATGATAATTTTTTTTGTCACTTTTATAAACATTCTCGTTTCTAGAAGAAATGTCTCATTGATCGTATGTAATACCAAATTAAATATTTTAATTTGTCAGTAATTTTAAGTTTAAATAATTTATGTAACAATTCTTAACTGATTTTAATAGTTTATAATTTAATATCGGTTTTGACAACTACTTTTCATTAAGCCTAAGCGATACTTCTAATGAAACGTTCAAAGTTTTACCATCTCTATATAAAAGGTTGTCCTGTGTGTCATATTTCTTCCTCCATTTTTTTGCAGCTCTTTAATTGCTCACGTCATTGATTAATTTGTTGACTGGCGCGGCTTAATAACCGCCACACGACTGCGGGAAAAACAATGCAGCCAGGGAAAACAAATCCCCGGCTGCAATGCGGCGATATTTGCTGCAACAATTGCAACTGCGGCAGTTGCAACATGAAAGTTGTCGCGTCACAGGCAGCAGCAGCAGCAACAAACGACATTTATCATGTTAACCTTTGGAGTGCATTTGTCTAGACGTCTTCAACGAGGGTTGATGATGTTGTTCTTGTTGTTGTCCCGACAAATGCGGAAGAAAAAAAGCGGTTAAGGTCCCGCAGGCGCAAAAAGGAATCATAATAATTTGTAATAAATTAACGCCTCGTATGTGTGTTGCATGCTGCCTGTTGCAGTGACAAACATCGCACCAACATCGGCGGCAACACCTAGCATTTGGGCCTACGAAGGATTAAAACACGCCCAGTCTCTCTGAGACTCTGCGACTCGTCGTCATCTTCATTAAGTCAAGGCGCGTCGTCCTCGAGTGCAAAGTCAACCAGACAGCACATATGTGGCATATGGCACTGCCTTCTGCCCTCCTTCCTCCATTTGGCCATGTTGCCATAACCCTTTTGTCTAATTTCACGCTGTCGTTCCTCATCAAAGACTGACGCGCGTCCCCGGCGAGTAATTCATCATTTCGCGTGACGTACTCCGGAGTCCTCTTCCTCGTCCTCCTCGGATTCACCGAATCCCCAACATCAACAGCAGCAGCAGGCACATAAATTCTCAAGTGCCAAATGCATTTTTTATATCGCCATTTGCCGACGACGAGAGCGCCTTGCCTTTGACTTGGCCTTAACTCCTGTTGGCGTGACACAATCGACAAGTTGAAAGCAGGCAGCGCGGTTGCATTGCTTGATGTTGATGTTGCTGTTGCCGCTGTCCCCATCGTTAGCTGCTAATTATTCAAATTAATTGTTTCGCCCCAAAGACACGCGCACGCGCAGCTCAAACGCCAATCAACTGGAGACACTTGGGAAGAGAAGGAAAGCTGAGGGAAAATAACACCCAGTTGACGACTGCAATATTTGTGGGGGCCCAAGCAAGACAAATTATTGCAATTGCCAGTTCTTAATGGAAAATGAACATCAATGAAATTTAATTTAAATTGTTTAAGTTAAAGAGACACTCATCACCATATGTCTAGTATTTTTTAGGAAACCCATTATTCTAAACAAATAAAAAATTTTGTTCAAACTTTAAAGTACAAACAAATTCTTTATTTTACAACAGTAGATGCAGAATCTTTTACAATTAAAAAAAAAATTAATTACCCCAATACAATAATAATCATTTTGCAATATTTTAAAATGCATGCCTTTCCTAACAAATATGAAATATTAATAATAAGTTACGCTTTAACGATTTACAGTATTGAATTATCTTTAAAAGGAGAGTAAATTTAATGTATATATTTAAATTCTTCTTAATTAACTTTTCGTTATACCGAATTTTTCCATTAGCCCAACAATTAAACCACTGCCCACCATTTCCAATTGAGTTATTAAAGATTGCATGTACTGGTTATGATTGTTGCCAGTCTCAGATCGGCAAAACTCCTTTCGGGCTGCCAACTT